GAGAAGGCCGAGGAGAGGCTGACGGTCACTCAAGGCCAGCGGGGGGGCCCGAGATCTCAGCGCGAAGAGTTCGGAGATCGTCGCGGACAACGCGAAGATCGGCACGGAGCGCGCGGAGCTCATGCACTGGGAGGTGTTCGTGAAGATCCGCCGGCCGATCGGGAGGATCAACGACGAGTGGATCAGGAAGAGCCTTGTCGTCGAGCACGGGGGCTCGGAGGTAGTTCCCGTGCTGAACGAGTCAGATACGCAGCGATATACGCAGCGCAGAACGTGGCAGCCGAAGTAGGGGGCGCGAAACGCTACACACGGCAGCACCCTCCAGAATCGCACACGTCGTGACGCCGAAGATGTCGCGGCACCCGGGACTGGGCCAGTGGGGTCAGACCCATCGAACTACCGAGCCGGTGGTATCTCCGTGGTCTCGCTCGAGTTCGCGCTGAGCTTTACCCTGGTGGGTGAACCCGTAGGGTTTGGTGGTGGCTGCAGCGGCCTAGTGTAGGGCCCTCTGGTGGCAGCTACCCCTTCCGAGGTAACGCGAGGGGAGATGACCACGGACCTCCAGGGACCCTCTGGTGTCAGAGTTGCTGACGTTCCTGCTGGCACCGGGGGTACTCATTCTCATACGGAGGGCCCGGCGCGGGATTTTTTTTTACCCCACTGGACGAGCCACCAACATGATGCCTCCACCTGCGAGAACATACGGGGGGCCCGGCGCGGGATTCTGATGGATGCTGCTGGTGCGCGCGGCCCCGTGGTCGGCCCCGCAAGGAGCGAGGCGCGACGGGGGCGTCCCAGCTCCGCGCGTCGAAGCGGATGACAGGGGCCCCGCCTCTGCCCTGGGAGGCCATCGGCGTCGACCCTCACTCCTACTGGCGGCGGGTCACGTTGTGAATTAACGGGCGAAGAACGGTATAAAAAAAACTGTTTCGCCGTCGGGGTATAAAACTTTCCAGCCGCCCATGGGGCAGGTGTCCCCGACGGCGAAAAAGTTTATGTTATACCGTTCTTCGCCCGTTAAATGAAGCCCTGTTGCGCGTGAGGCAGTAGCGCAGCGTGGTGCAGCTGGATTTCGTTGCCCAACATACGCTCATCAGCTCGCTCCTGAGCCTTCGTCGGTCGGAGCGGTGTTGCTGGTGTGGTGGCCAGAGCGGTGGGATGCCTACGAGGGGTTCGTCGTATGAAGCGACTGCACGGTAGACGCCACCACTGCTCTTGAGGGCGGTCACGCAGGCTCCCTTCCGACTGATTGGTCTCCTATCGATCTGCTAGGGTCACCTTCTGGCGGTCCTTACATCGTGGCTGAGGCTGCCGTGGTGCAGCGGGCGCACGGCGCGGGCCTGCCAGAGTCATGGCACGCGCGCGAGGACTGAAGGAATTGCACGCCAATCTGTCACGGCCTCGGATGGGCCGTGTCTGGCCTCGCGAGGCTGGAATGGCTGCGGGGCGCTTGGCGTCCCGGATCGCTCTGAACAGAGCTCTCGAGCCGAGACTGGGGAGAAAGCAGAGAGAGGGGAGAGGGGGGTAGGAGGGAGGGAGAGGATCGTCAGCACTCCCGCTAGGGCGCGCCCGCCTCGCACACGTCGGCGGCCATGCCTCCGCCTGCGCTGGGCAGGGCTTCCGAAGGAGGCAGGCCAGGACCCCTGCCGGATCGGTTTTCACCCGTTTCGGCATCCTTCCCCACACCTTTTCCTTGTAAATACCCCCTCCCCATTCTCGCACCACCAGACGCGTCCGTAGGACGGGCAGTGCGGTTCGATACAGATGTCCTTTCAATTTGCTGTCCAGAAGCAAAGAACTCAAACAGCTTCCCGGGTGAAGGGCTGGTCGTCTTTAAAATGCGGATCGCCTTTGCGCGGCGCACCTTTGTTAAAGATTCAAGCATCTTCAAGGATGGAGGGCGGGTGAATTTCAAAATGCGGCTCCAGCCATACCGCCGCTCCAGCCATACCGCCGCCGCCGCCGTCTTGACAGCTTACATCAGCGTCAAGGATGGAGGGTAGGCTGTTTTCATCATTCGGCGCTCGCCGTAACGCCGCGCACATCCGTCTTCACAGTTTGCATCAGCTTCATGGATGGAGGCTGGCTCCTTTTCAAAATGCGACCCTCGCTTTGCAAACACGAGCCTGCCTCACAATGAGCGGCACTGAGGCTTGTAATCTTCAACGACGGAGGTGGGGGTGTAACCATTGTTCGGAGTCAAACATGCTTTTTATCGGAATCGAACTATCTTGGCTCGAGGAGCCCCTACAACATACGGTCCTAAATTGCACCAGCCCTCTGGACGTAAGTAGTCTAACGATCTAGTTGCGCTTCCCCCGCAGCACAACAACGCAACAACACCCAAACCCCAGGCGTCGTGGTGAATACCAGAAGCCTGGGCAGCCAGGTGAAGGAAACTGAGCGGCACGCGTGGACAACAGCAGCAAGAGCAAGGAGAGGGAACACGTGGCAAGAAGAAAAGAGGAAGAACCAAGAGCAGCAAGGAGAAGAGCAGGAACGCGAGGGGGGGCAGCTCGTTCTGCTAGCCCCAGTCTTCCCATTCGGGAAGGGGGGTCACCCTCCCCCTACCCCTAGGTTTGGAACCCCCCCGCGACATGTCAGAGGGTTCTTCTTGGCCCCAGGTGTCTGTAAGAGGACCCCAGAGATCCCAAGGTGGCCTCCAAGACCGCTCGGTACACCCCAAGATGCGTCAAGATAGCCTGAGATATGCCTCCAAGGGCCTGCAAGATCGCCCCCAGGACGGCCCGGAGTGCCCTCCGAGCATCCCGAGGAGGCCCCCAGCAGACCAGAATCCTTCAAAACCATTGTGGCGTTCAGTGTGATGTGCCTCCTGGCCTCTTCGCTTCCGACGGGCTCTTGAGGCCTCAGGATGGCTCCAAGATGGCCCAATAGGGCCCCATGAGGGGCGTAGGATGCCCCCAAGAGGGCCCCAAGGCGACCCCAAGAGCGCCACAAGAGCGCCCCAATAGGGCGAGCACCCCGCTCCTTCGACCGACGGCTTCCAAAATGGCCCTCAGAGGCCCAAGAGGGCCCGAAGAGGCCCCAAGAGGGCCCCGAGTGACCTGCAAGACACTCCCAGAGCAAAAGGTCTGCAAAGGCCTTGACGGTTCACTTCTGTCGTCGTCGTCGTCGTCGCCGTCGTCGTCGTCGTCGTCGTCGTCGCCGTCGTCGTTGTCGTTGTCATGGTCGTCGTCGTCGTCGTCGTCGTCGTCGGCGGCGGCGGCAGCGGCAGCAGCGGGGTCGTCGTCGTCGGCGTTGGCGTCGGCGCCTCCTCCTCCTCATCATCATCATCACCATCATCATCAGCAGCATAATCAGCATCGTCATCAGCATCATCATCAGCATCATCAGCATCATCATCATAATCATCATCATCAACATCATCAGCATCATCAACATCAGAATCATCCTTCAAAATATCTCGTAAGATAAACGCGGTCCACTGCCAGCCCGCATGCTGCTACATATCCCTGATCAGGGCAACACGCCTGGTGTTTGTTGTTGGATGGGCTGGTGGGGATACTTGTTGATCGCGACCGAGGCGAGGTCGGGCGGCTTCGAAACGCTTGCACGGATGGAGGTCCACTCATTTTCGAAATCGACCTACCGTTTGGGAATTTCTCAGTCTCATGCCAGCCCGTGGACCCCACAGGGGGCTCTTACACTTCCCAGGTGCACGCGATGCACCGAGAATGGGTGAGATCGTTCCTTCCCTCCAAGGTCCTGAGCCTGCGGAAAGCCCAGTGGACCCTGACCTTTTCATCGAGCGCTCGCCGTGGTGAGAGCGAGCACGTATTTGCGTTGACCCAAACAGGGTGGAACTAAGAACGGGAATGCGTATTGCAGTATTAGAGGCGATGTGCGCTGGATGTACAAATGTCCTCGGCCTCCTCCTCCTCCTCCGCCTCCGCCTCCGCCTCCTCCTCCTCCTCCTCCTCCTCCTCCCCCTCCTCCTCCTCATTATCCTGCTCCTCCTACTCCTTGCCCACCACCACAACCTTCGTTTTCTTCTTCATCACCACCACCACCACATTCTTCTTCATCACCACCACCACCACCACTACCACCACCACCATTATAACCACCACCGCAACCTTCTTCCTTGTCTTCATCATCATCTGCATCATCAGCAGCAGCATCATCATCATCATCATCATCATCATCAGCAGCAGCAACACCATCATCAGCATCATCATAATCATAGCATGTTCATCATCAGCAGCAGCCGCATCATCATCATCATCGTCATCATCACCATCATCATCATCAGCAGCAGCATCATAATCAGCATCAGCATCATCATCAGCATCATGAACATCGTCCTCATCCTGAGCATCAGCATCGCCATCGTCAACATCATCATCATCACAATCAGCATCAGCAGCATTGTCATCCTCGTCGTCATCATCGTCCACCTCCTCCTCCGCCTCCTCTTCTGACTCCTCCTGGTAGCATTATTCAGCACCATCATCATCACAGTCCGCTTAATCTGAACTATCATGTTTGGCACAAGTATCGGCAGATTAACCATCAACAGCATCATCACCAACATCACCAGCATCATCAGCATCAGCAACATCAGCATCGCCATCATCATCATCATCATCAGCAGCAGCAGCAGCATCAGCATCAGCATCAGCATCAGCAGCATCATCAGCATCAGCATCATCATTACCATCATCATAATATGCATCCTCCTCCTCCCCCTCATCCGCATGATCATGAGCATCATCAGCATGATCATCAACAGCAGCATCATCATCCATCTCCTCCTTTCCTTAATCATTATCACGACCACCAACACATCATCCCCCTCCCCTCCTCCTCCTCAACATCATCATCATCACCATCATCATCGCCATCGTCAGCATCATCATAATACTAATCATCATCACCATCATCATCAGCAGCAGCATAATAATAAGATTGTTATGTTCATCTTCAGCATTTTCAGCATCACCATCATCAGCCTCCGCCTCCTCCTCCTCTTTATTATTGTGTGCTCCTCCTGCTAGAGGGTTGTTGAGTGTCCTGCGGGTATGCATCATACATGCGATGAGCAACAAGGCGGAGAATGCACATCCCCAGCGAGGCTCCATCCAGAGGGGTCAAAAACTGCCGACCTCAACAGTCGGGATGAGAGCTCAAGATCGTCCACGGCCTCGCCAAAAACCTCAATGATTTCCTATCGCTTCTGGCGCCAAGTCACGATTGTATGACTTGTGTTGTCTGAACATCAGACTCGCATGGGTCAAGCCGTACTGTCTCAGCATCGCGCGGACACACTCATTCGCTGGGACCGAGCCAGACATCGGGGAAACAACTTGGTCTCTTCAAGTTCGATGCCCATGAACATGAATGCGACGACCTGTGCTGACGACGTACGATACTGATGATAATGATGATGACCATGAAGACGCATAAAATTACAACGTTGTTAGGTACGAGCGACGATAGGAGCGACTGCCGTGACGATGGTTTGACCGGTACCTTTGCCCAATCTCTCTCCACGAAATACTTCTACCCAGCAAAAAGCAGCCGAGCGGTGGAACCCATTGTGAAGCGCTGTAGGTGGAAGATCCCGCCAGCGTTCAAAGGCCTGCGTAGCAGGCGGAGCCAGGCAGTCCCCTGCTTCTCGGTAAAAATCTGGGTGCCCAGCCCAGGAAATGGAGTCTCTTCAAATGTCCTGGCGAGTGTATTAGAGAGCAGAAAATCCACCCTCATCATCATCACCCCGACACGCCAAGTCGTTTAGCAAACTCACCCAAAGAAGGAATCAAACAGGGCAGGGCTGTTTAGCAAACGCCCAGGGCCGTTTAGTAAACGCCACATGTCGGGTCCAGGTGGTTGTTCCTCCCTTGAGTGTAGACGTCCGCCCAGCGTGCACGGGATGCTGTAGAACAGCCACGTCCTGTGGCCTCGCAAGCCGCCCCTCACTCGTCGTAGTCGGTCAGTTCCGCGAAGTGCGGCCCTCCGAAACACACGTCAACCATGCAATCGTGGTTTGGCATGTGATTCTTGGACTTAGACGTGCAAATGGACCTGGCCTGGTCTGCCTTCTCGGTGGGACAATTGTTGAGGTCTGGCCGGTTCGCCGGCGTCACGGGGGTCTTGGTGTTGAAGAGCAGGTCTTGCTGCGCAACACCTGTGGTGCCGATGCGGGCGCGGATCTGTGGCCGGGTGTCGTCGTCTGGGTTGCCATTGAAATCTGCCGTCCCACCGGGGTTACCACCGTGGGAGATCTCTGCCCCTCCCCAGACCCTGCCCCATGCGGGGCGAGCTTCGACAGAGCGCCAGGCCTGTCAGCCCAGACCTCCGAGGTCTTGAGATATCTTCTATATGCGGGGTCCCCCGCGCTCCGGTCCACTCCCAGGACACCCGTCGATCGCCTCGGAACAGTCTGGAGCGGCCCCGGGGGCGAGGGCCCCCCGGACGCCGAGAGCGACGGAGAACCTCCGGCCTGCTTGAGCTTCAACGCGTTGGAACTGCCAGGGGGCGCCACGATGCCGCCCGGGCGGCCACGCGGTGCGCCCCATGATGCCGCCACGGCGGCCCGAAGGGCAGAGGGGGAGGGCGGAGGAGGAGGAGGAGGAGGAGGAGGAGAGGCAGAAGGACGAGGAGGAGGACGAGGAGGAGGAGGAGGAGGAGGCGACGAGGAGGGGACGAGGAGGAGGAGGAGGAGGAGGTCTCCGGGCCGAGCGCGAGGGGCCCCCGCGCAGGCCGGAGGAGAGAGCCCCCCGGGAGGGGCCCCAGGCCGAGGGGCAGCGTCGGGGGCGGAGCAGCTCGGGGGGAAAGAGAGAACGCACAGATGTTTTCAACAGTGCTGGATTCGGGCTCCCCTGGACTCCTCTATCCGGGGCGTAGCCTCGCTGAGAAAGCGCCTTGAGCCCTGCGTCATCACGGATCTCGGGCTTCTTTCGCCCAAGGGTGTTAGGGTGTTAATTCCTCCACCTACCCCTGCCAACCAACCTAACGCGGAGCAGCTCGGGGGGTGCGAAGGGGCGCTGCGAGCTCGCAGCGAGCTCGCAGCGGCGATGCGTCGCCGACGGATCGGCGAGAGGCCCCCTGATGATAGCGAATGCGAAGCGACTTTGGCGGGGCGGGCTATCGGGCAACAGATCGGCGACCCGTGGGTGGCTGGGGGTGGGCGTATCCCCCACTGACCCTTGGATGCTGATTCTGGGGACCTGCCTGGAGACACTCGCTCCACTCTTGCGTCGAAGCTGCGTCGAACGTCCGTCGATTTGAATCGACCCTGAGTCGAACCTGAATCGAACCTGAGTCGAACTTGAGTCGAAGTGCGGTCGAATTAGAATCGAACAGATCCGTTAGGCGGGCCCCAGGAAGGTCCCCAGAACGAGCATCTAATGAACCTATCCCCTCCCGACGTGGCCCCTGAAAGACGGCCAAAACCATCGCATGGTTTTTCACTGCTCTTTGTAAGTCCTGATTTCCCTACGAGGTCCAAGCTCATTCTGTGACGGACGGCCAGCGCCAACTGCATCTCCCGGCCAGGTTCGCTGGGTACGCCTCTGCCAACTCACTGGGGATGCCCCCTTTCCTCGAGGACCCGACCACCAAGAGCAACCCACTGCATCGCTCCAAGATTTGAGAAACAACCTCAGCCAGCGCGAACAGTGCGTTACTGCACTGCGGAGGTGAAAGGGCGTAAGCTGTGTGGCGAAGGCCGTGGTGCGAGCTGTACGAAGCGGAGTTATGTGTAAGCTATGTGCAAGCTGTGTGTAAGCTGTGTGGCGAAGGCTGTGGCGATGAGGTGAAGCACCCTTGCCATAGGTGCGGTGCAGACTAGTTATGCTATGCGGTGCCAGCAGTAACTCAAGCGAACGGGCGGCCACGTGGCGGCACCTCGGTCCACCCAGCGCACGAGGCGGCCACGAGACGGCCACGGGCGGCAACGTGGCGAAACCTCGCCGAAGCCGCCCAGCGTACGAGGCGGCCACGAGACGGCCACGGGCGGCAACGTGGCGAAACCTCGCCGAACCCGCCCAGCGCACGAGGCGGCCACGAGACGGCCACGGGCGGCAACGTGGCGAAACCTCGCCGAACCCGCCCAGCGCACGAGGCGGCCAAGAGACGGCCACGGGCGGCAACGTGGCGAAACCTCGCCGAAGCCGCCCAGCGTACGAGGCGGCCACGAGACGGCCACGGGCGGCAACGTGGCGGAACCTCCCCAGATCCACCCAGCGCACGAGGCGGCCACGAGGCGGCCACAGTTTGCTGCAGGAGGGTGATCGACACGTCAGGCTCTCCAGGTTCTTTCGGCTCCGAGATAATGGGTTGTGCGGATCGGAGCTTCCAACATTTGTCGGAGGCAGGTCACAAGTGCTTTGACATCCGTTGAGCGGCTGACGTTGTTCGGAGGCTCAGGCTTCGACTACTTGCAGCCTCTCTCCCTCGTTGCCTCCGATGTGGCCGTGATTTGTCTGTGATAAGCTTGGTGACTTGCGGCGCCGATCATGCGCATGAGCATTGAAGTGCAGGGGCGATCTCATTAGCGCGGAATTTGGGTTGCCCCGCCATCGTTGACACAGCTCCGTCTAGAGCGTATATTGTACGGTAAGGAGAGCGGTCAGAGCTCAACCCGACGGTAAAGTGAGCCACCAGATCAGAGTCCGCAGCACCCGTGGGTTACTAGAGGATCACGATGTCCGACGTTTTCCTGGCACTCTCAGTCTATAATTGAACTTCCTTGGTCAGCGCTTTCGGGATCATCTTCGAACTCCATGGGCTGCTAATTGGGGAAGTTCGCTCAGGAATAGTTCTGAGCGTACTGCTATCTATGCTAACAGGAACATTGACCCCATCATGGTCGATCTCGCTGTCTAGCGCAAGGTTTCCTGCCATACCGTATCAGGTACTCTATGATGTAGCACGTTGTCGACATGTGGACGACATCTTAGGTATGAGCATTCTTCCTGCATAGAGTGTACCAATCGCTTCATACACACAACGTGCGATGGCAAGTCTACACATCATAATTGTCATACTCGCTGGCTGCGTGGCTTGATCTATAAATAGTTGCTGTGGGCTCCGTGATTACCCTCATCCCCAAGAATAATGCTGCATGATGCTTCCAAACCTCGGCTTCGGGCAACAGTTTTACCCTACGTGCACGTTGTCACACGAAGCTTTCTACTGGACCGTATAGCCTTCTAGCTGGTCGTGTCTCAAAGGCTCGGTCAATGCGGCCCTCAGTGCTGTTGGCTTCCCACTGGCTGCTGGAGCTGGTCCTCAAATGTTTCTACTGGGCTACCCCCTTCCTCTGCGTCAAGCCCTTCTCCAGTCTTGTCCGTGTAGCCTGGAGGTTCAAGAGGCCCGCGCGAACTTCAGAGCCTGACTCCGTACCCTGCGCAGCGCCACTGACCCAGACATGGGAGGTCCTGCACGCCATGGCTCTGGAGGCGGCAGGATGGGCGGCAAGGGCCAGTCGTGGGATCACGGAGGAAAAAAGGCGGTGACCGTGATCGTGACGATCGCCGAGGCCGGTACCTTCGTGGCCGCGACTGCGGCCGTGATCGCGATCGCGATCGCCGCCGTGATGAGTGCGACGACCGACGTGGCCATCGAGGGCGCGGTGGGGGCCGCTCGACGGACTCCGGCGGGGAGGAGGCCAGGACGCGAGCGACGGATCGCTCGGTGCGCTTCTTGGTCAAGAGGGGGGCCCGAGCACACGCCGACGCCCTGGCCGAACGGGACCGGGCCCGCTCGGAGGAGAACCTCCGTGCCCAGGGCAAGGCGCTGGCAGACGCGATGGAGTCCACCCTCGACGAGCACATGGCGCGCGTGCGCGACCAGGACTTTCCACCGACGGCGGTGCAGGCCCCGCCCACCCGCCCACGGGCGCCGCGGGCGCGGCGCCTCCTGGGCTGACGGTGACCGCCAGCAGCGGAGGCGTTCCCTGCGACGCCCCCCCGACGCCCCCGACTGTGGAGGCAGGCTTGTCAGGAGTGGCGCAGGCGTGGCTCCAGGGCCTGGTGGGCAGCGCCACGTTGCCGACGGGACACTCGCAGGAGTCAGTCTCGACCGTCATCCTCGAGTGCTGCACCGAAGGAAACCACGCGAGCGAGGTGAAGGAGCGGATCCGCGTGAGGCTGGCTACCGTGGGTGTCGGCAGGGGCGCTCCCCGCGGCCAGAAGACGAGGGCTGCGCGTGTAGCGCAGCCCTTGCTCGGCCCAGCGTGGCGGCCACAGCTTGGACACCAGCATCCGAACCAGCCCTGGACCTGGACTCCAGGACCGCAGCGTCGTTCCTCGGTCGGTTTTGGGGCCAGCCTACACCATCACCACCTCTGCCTCCTACGCGGGTCGGCGCGGTGCCGCAGCAGCATGCGATGCAATATGGACTCCAGCATCCGTGTCTCCAGCAGCTTGACTTGACCGCTCCATAAGATGTGTGGGCAAAGCACACTGCGACTTGGGTTTCAATGCTGAGCTTCATCCTACTACGGGGTATATGCGTGATGTCGCTCCTCCACGTCTGCGCTCCGTGCTACGACTGATCCAGCTACGCCGAGTCCCAGGAGTTCGGCGTCCGCTCCGACGAGGCTGATGACACGGTTCAACTGTGTGGCTGCAGAAGCCTCCGACAGTCACTTAGAGGTGGCAAAGGCGTGGTGAACATTGCATGTATCTCATAGAGCGGATGCGCGTGCGGGTTAAGCTCTTCTGAGTCTCATGGATGCTCCAGTGAAGCTGTGGAACGAGAGTGGGCAGGCCGCCGTCAGTGTCTCTGCCCGCGGCGAGGCCGTGGCGGCCGCCAGGTGAGCCATCAGGAGACCATAGAGGAGACCCACAGTGAAGCGGAGGACGGGTGCACTATCCCGACGGTTTCCACCCTCCCTGCGTTTTGGCCCTCCCCCTCCCCCTCCGAGCTTTTCACTGGACCTGCTCGGGCGAGTCCTCTGAACCCCCTGCTCGCTGTCGAATCCTCCTTCCCTCCGCCCTTGCCCGTGCAACCGTGCGTGCCCGCCGCCACTCGGGCCTGCGAGGGTGCCGCGCGGGCCCACCCGGTGCTCGCAGCACCGCGGCAGGCCAACATGCTTCGGGCCCGAGAGGCCAAAAAAGGCGGCCTCGGGTCCGGTTTCTCCGACAGCGTGCCCTCCTCATCCAGTTCTTCTTCCTCCCCCTCCTCCTCCTCCTCCTCCTCCTCCTCCTCCTCCTCATCATCATCATCATCATCATCATCATCATCATCATCATCATCATCATCATCATCATCATCATCATCATCATCATCATCATCATCATCATCATCATCATCATCATCATCATCATCATCATCATCATCATCATCATCATCATCATCATCATCATCATCCATCATCATCATCATCCATCATCATCATCATCATCATCATCATCATCATCATCATCATCATCATCATCATCATCATCATCATCATCATCATCATCATCATCATCATCATCATCATCATCATCATCATCATCATCATCATCATCATCATCATCATCATCCATCATCATCATCATCATCATCATCATCATCATCATCATCGTCATCATCATCATCATCCATCATCCATCATCCATCATCCATCATCATCATCCTCATCCGCATCCTCATCCTCATCCTCATCCTCATCATCATCATCATAATCATCATCATCATCCTCTTGCACAGCCTTGACCTTAGCAAAAAAAATACTAGGGGTCGGCGAATGGGCCGTGAGCCTTGTGCATTGCCACAGTGGCCATCCTGGTTGGGCTGCATGCCCATAGTGATCATCGTGTTCAGGTAGTCGCCCTCGCCCGGCTCGTTCCAGCGGTTGATCTCCAGATGAACGTTCAGCGGCAAGTCCACGTGCACGACGTGCAACTGCTTGCCGGCGCGGCTCGACTGCATCACCTGCCCGTTGCCGTCGGTGACCACCTTGACCATCGGGTCCCTGTTCTCCCAGGCGTCTGGGAAGCTGGGGATGATGGGGACCCCGTTGAAGGTCGCGCTGAGGGCTGAAATACGGAGGAGGTTCTTTTCGCCGTTCTTGCCCTCCAAGAAGGGGCCACCGATCGCGACCTCCTTCAGGACGGAGAGGCCGTTGGTCACTGGAGTTGGCAGGTAGCGGCCCTGAATCCAGACGGTGGAGCTCTTCACAACCCAGTACTCGCCCTGGGAGTAGAAGCTCGCGTGGCTCCCATCGAACGTCGTCACGTGGGGGTCCCCGTAGATCTTGCAGATGCGCGGAGGTCCCTGCGGCGGTGGGGGGGCTGGCGTGGGATTCACGACGGGCGGCGGGGTTTCCGGAGGCGGGGTGCTAATGACGATGGGGGGCGTTGTTGTGGTGGTCGTGGTGGTGGTTCCCGCGAAGAAGATGAAGGGGATCAGCGCCAGCCACCAGAGGCAGCACAGCCACCAAACGCTGCACCCGGCCGCAGGAATCGGCACCACGGCGAAGGTGCCTGCACCCTGGCCCACGTACTGGTAAGTGGTCGTGGCAACGTAATCACCGCCTGCGCCCACATAAGACATCGTCGTACCAGCGATGCCTCCACCACAGCTGGCGCCTCCGACTCCGCAGCACGCGCCACCGCCAGCGCCCACTCCACACCCGTCCGCGCCGCAGCCATTGCCGCAGTCCGCGTCAGCATAGCCCATCCCGGGATAGACGCCATCACCGGGATAGACGCCACCACCAGAATAGCCCAGCTGGCTGTAGGCCCCGCCGCTGGCGAGCGCGCCGCCGCCGCCGCCGCCCGCAAAGGACCCGCGGGAGCCCGCAACAAACCCACCTCGTGGGCCCGATGCCATGAAAGAGCCGCTGCGGCCAAAGAAACTCATTGCCTGCAAAATATGGTCGCCAAAATCGCAGGCCCTGTGCAAGGACCGTATCTGAAGCAACTCCTGCGCAGAGCCGAGCCAAGACGACTACTGGCAGTGGCGGCGAAGGACGGCGGATGATGATGACTATGATGATGATGACGATGATGACGATGACAACGATGGCGATGATAATGATGAGAATTACGATGAGGATGATGATGATGATGATGATGGTGGTGGTGATGCTGATGATGATGATGATGATGATGATGGTGATGATGATGATGATGATGATGATGATGATGATGATGATGATGATGGTGATGGTGATGGTGATGGTGATGATGATGGTGATGATGATGATCGTGGTGGTAGCAATGATGATGGTGATAATGATGACGATGATTATGATTTCGATCATGATGACGATGTTCATGCTGATGATGATGGTGATGGTGATGACCATGAGGAGGATGTTGAAGATGATGATGACGACGACCATTATGATGGCGATGATGATGAAGACGATGATGACGATCATGATGATGAGGGTGGTGGTGATGATGATGAAAATGTGATTGTGACGGTAATGGTAATGATAATGATCATGGTGATGTTAGTGGTTGTGATGCTGATAATGATGCGTATGCTGATGCTGGTGATGATGGCGATGATGGTGGTGATGACGATGATGATGATGGTGATGGTGATGATGACGGTGATGTTGATGATTGGTATGATGATGGTGGTGATGATGATGCTGTTCATGATGATGATGACGATGGTGGTGGTGATGGTGATGATTAGGATGATGATGATGGTGGTGGTGGTGATGGTGATGGTAATGATGATGATGCTGATGGTGATGCTGATGATGCTGATGATGATGATGGTTGTGATGGTGATGGTGGTGATGATGATGCTTATCATGATGCTGGTGATGGTAATGCGTATGCTAATGCTGGTGATGGTGGTGAAGGTGATGGTGCTGGTGGTAATGATGAGGATGATGGTGATAGTGATGGTGAGGGTGGTGATGATGAAGGTGGTGATGATGCGGATGATGATGACGATAATGTTGTCGATGGGAAAGGTGATGGTGGTGTTGATAATTGTGATGATGATGACTTTTATACGAATGATGATGCTGGAGATGGTGGCGCGCATGCTGGTAATGAACATCACGATGATCATGATAATCCGCCTTCCAGTGCCGCAGATGACCGCTAATCGGAGACAGAATGTCAGCTTCAGCGTTTCACGCACAGCCCGTTGCAAGTGCAACAGCTCGGCAAGAAGCACCAAAAAAGTACACCTACAAATGAGCCTAACTTGATACCCGAGACACCCACCATGTGCAACGCAGCCGCACTGAACATCGAACTGGTTTTTTAATTCGATACCACCTAAAAGCCTTGACACATCTGTTGGCATGTTGTCAAGGACCTGACACCTCTCATCCATGAAACGTGATATGTCAGACCCACTCATCTCTCGCTGTTGAGGAATGTTGGGACGAACCCTACTGAATTCACAGTTTCGGGGCGGCCCTCACCCGATCGCAGAGGCTTCGGAACCCAGACCAGAGCGCGCAGCCATCAGACAAACGAGAATGGGGAGGAGGCCGAGAGGCCCCAAGAGAACTCCATCCACAATCGTCGACGACCTCCGCACTGTGCGGGACGCCAGCTGCGAGACGCGCAAACCAGGCTAAATCCGCCACCTCGGAATCCGAGGGCACCCATCCGCCTAACCCTCGCCGCATTCGTGGAGGTGCGGGCGACCCAGCTGTGTCCAGGGCGCCAAAGGTAAGGGCCTGAGGGCCGCAGGTCCAGCCAGAGAGGGCCGTTTGGGACGGCTCGGCCGCCCCCAGAAGGCCCTCCTCGACAGGGCGCAGCTGCGCTGGAAGACACCCCTGGCGCCCAACCACTTCCGGGAACTCTCCCAAGAGCACCCGGGAGCCTCCGTCAACCTCGACTGGCAACGGCCCTCTGGGCGTGCGTGGTCAAAGGGTCTGCTCTTCGAACACCCTGCCTCCCCTTCGGGGAGGGGCTGAAATCTCTTCCCACCCCTCCCCCTGGAGGGTCCCTCCTCCCTGCTGCGCGCTTCTTCGTACCACTGCAGCTGCCTGGCGTGATCGGCCCCCCACAGTGGCAATGGCCGCGGGGGGGTGCATGACAGCGCTCATTACCAAACTCCAATGCCACCGGCCTTGAGCCTTGACACGTCGTCTTACCCCGTGGCCTTGGGGTCTGGACCGTGGTTCCCCGAGCGGTCGGGGCGTCCAAGGTGGCCCCGGATGGCGAGCGTTTTCGTATTCGGCGTTCCGACATTGGGCAGAAAGGGGAGGAGGGGGGGTAACAGACAAGATCAATCACATGGCCTCCAAAATTGCCTCCAAGATGGCCCAAGATGGCCTCCAAGACGGCACGACATATCCCAAGTTGGAAACAAGCATGCTTACAATCTCCAAACATGCTTCCGAGAGTCGCCAACAGCGCCTGGAAACGGCTCGAGCCAGGGGGGGGGCTCCCAGGGATGCCCCCGAGGGGCCAAAGAATATGTCAGAAGCAATGCGGTTTTACGTTGTTCCCCAATCAGAGCTTGCCTCTGTAGGGGTCCTAGCGGATTTAAGGGTAGGTGAGGTGTGCCGCCGATTCGGTGGCCGGGGCCCGGGTGCCCGGGTGCCCGGGTGCCCGGGTGCCCGGGTTCGCCGCCGATTCGGTGGCCAGGCCCGGGTGCCCCGATGCCCGGGTGCCCGGGTGCCTGGGTGACGGGTGCCCGGTGCCCGGGTGGGTGCCCGGGTGCCGGGTGCCGGGTGCCCGGGTGCCCGGTGCCCTGTAACCCTATAGCCTTATGGTCCTATATCCCTATCGCCCTATATCTATAGCCTATAGCCCTATAGCCCTATATCCCATATAGCCATATAGCCATATAGCCCATATAGCGCCCAAGAGCCCATATAGCCCTGCAGCCCTATAGCCCTACGGCCCAAGAAAGATTATGATTGGGGCTTTTCTATGGTATCATTTTTTTTTCCCACGCATCCTGTGGTGTTGGGTCCTCGTTTTGAAGAGACGGTGGCCCGCGTCTCCTCTCCTCCTCTCCTCCTCTCCTCCTCCTCTCCTCCTCCTCCTCCTCCTCCTCCCCCTCCTCCCCTCTCCTCCCTGCGTTTCACCCACCCGGTACAGCGCGTCGTGGCCCCATAGGGAGCTCCATCGAAGGCTCCAGTGGCTGCGTTCGCATGGTGGCCCCGCCCCCTTTTGGCGCACCCCTCACGAGGATCGTGGCCCCATAGGGAGCTCCACCGAAGGTTACAGTGGCAGCGTTCGCATGGCGCCCCCGGGCCATTTCGGCACACCCCTCACGAGGATCGTGGCCCCATAGGGAGCTCCACCGAAGGCGCCAGTGGCTGCGTTCGCATGTGGGCCCCGCCCCATTTCGGCACACCCCTCACGAAGATCGTGGCCCCATAGGGAGCTCCACCGAAGGCCCCAGTGGCAGCGTTCGCATGGCGGCCCCGCCCCATTTCGGCACACCCCTCACGAGGATCGTGGCCCCATAGGGAGCTCCACCGAAGGCTCCAGTGGCAGCCTTCGCACGTGGGCCCCGCCCCATTTCGGCACACCCTTCACGAGGATCGTGGCCGTATAGGGAGCTCCACCGAAGACCCCAATGGCTGCGTTCCAATGTCGGCCCCGCCCCATTGTGGCGCACCCCTCACGAGGATCGTGGCCCCATAGGGAGCTCCACCGAAGCCCCAGTGGCAGCGTTCGCATGGCGGCCCCGGGCCATTTCGGCACACCCCCCACGAGGATCGTGGCCCCATAGGGAGCTCCACCGAAGGCCCCAGTGGCAGCGTTCGCATGGCGGCCCCGGGCCATTTCGGCATACCCCTCACGAGGATCGTGGCCCCATAGGGAGCTCCACCGAAGGCGCCAGTGGCAGCGTTCGCATGGCGCCCCCGGGCCATTTCGGCACACCCCTCACGAAGATCGTGGCCCCATAGGGAGCTCCACCGAAGGCCCCAGTGGCAGCGTTCGCATGGCGGCCCCGCCCCATTTCGGCACACCCCTCACGAGGATCGTGGCCCCAAAAGGGAGCTCCACCGAAGGCCCCAGTGGCAGGGTTCGCATGGCGGCCTCGGGCCATTTCGGCACACCCCTCACGAGGATCGTGGCCCCATAGGGAGCCCCACCGAAGGCCCCCAGTGGCAGGGTTCGCATGGCGGCCTCGGGCCATTTCGGCACACCCCTCATGAGGATCGTGGCCCCATAGGAGCTCCACCGAAGGCGCCAATGGCAGTCTCCCTCATGGCTCTCAGAACCCTTTCCTGCTTCTGCTCTTCGGTCAGGGGGACGCCATCCTCGTGGTCGTCGGCGCCCGCGAAGACGGCCACAAACGTGTCCCTGAGCATGTCGGGCTCTGGCGGGAAGCCGTGGCCACATAGGGAGCGCGGGCAAAGATGGTATTCTTCACAACTGCTGTATCCACAATTGCGTATGGTTGGGTCCTTCGCCAGGCTAATTCTCCCCTTTTCGGTTCCGATAAGCTTGTGAGGCCTCAAGACGGCTCCGAGATCTTCCAAGACAGCTCCAAGAGGTGCCCAAGAAGGGTCCAAGAGAGACCCCCGAAGACCCCCAAGCGAGTCCCAGCAGAATTCCAAGAGGCGATCCTTCGGGCCCCAGGCATGCGGTGTCAACGGGGGCACTGCGACACTACAGGGCTGTTTTAAAAACATCGGATGTTTTTAAATATGATTCTTAAAACATGATTAATGTAGGAATAAATGTATGCATGAACTCATCGTTGTGTTTAATACTAAACCCTGCGTTTTTTTTTAACATGATCCGCACGCGGAGCACGTATTAAAAACGGCACTGTACGGGGGACCACGGGCCCGTCGGCAGTGCCTCTGCGCGCCGTGGCAGGTGGACGGTGCCGTCGGAGGCGCCCGCGCGAGAGAGGAGGCGAGGGAGGGGAGAGGGCGGGAGGAGGACGTGTGAAGGAGGCGGGACCCGAGCGCCGAGGCACCGTGGGCGCCGAGCGCCGACGCCGACGCAGGGAGAGGACACGAGGAGGAGGCGTGGCGGGAGGAGGAGGAGGAGGAGG